GCGCTGCTTGGGGCGAAGGCGTGGCGCAGGAGAGGCATGTTCTGCCAAGGAGGAGATAACACATAGCTGGAGCGGGGTACATGGCAGGAGGTGCTTGCAGGGGGTCGGTGAAGTGGGTCGCCGTGCAGAGGCAAGAGTTGTGTCTCTTGGCCTTGCCTTTGCCACTCCCCTCCTCTCCTGTTGCTTCTAACCCTCCCTTCTTGCGTCGCTTCTGTGTGGCTGTCTCTCTCCCCATGCTCGTGTGTGCCTCACGTCCTGCGAGTCCGACGGGAATGGCAGCGAGTGGCAGCGGGGATCACCAGTGGCTGCAGCGACTGCAGGATGACGGCGAGCACACAACACAAGAGGTTGTGAGTGGATCAGGTGAAGCAGTACACCTCTTCACATTTCACCATCTTTCTGCTTTCTGTGTTTTGTGCTCTCGTGTCTACTTTTTTTCCACGGTGCCCATGAGTCTTTGCAGCTGTGCTGCCATATGCTCATGCCATTCTTCTCAGCTCCCAAAGCCCTCCTCTCCTGTCCTCTCCTCTTCCCTGCAGCGACCGGTGGTGGTGGTCGCAACGAGAGCAACAACTGCAGCAGCAGCAGCAGTGGAGTACAAGCAACCGGGAGCACTGGCAGCAGCAGGGCGTTGCTTGGGGCGAAGGCTTGGCGCAGCAGCAACGGAGCAGCATGGAGCAGCACGCAGGCGTGGGGCAGCTGGCAGAGCGGCCGAGTGGCAAAGCGGCAGACGGAGCGTAGTACGTGCCAGGGGGTGCTTGCAGGGGGGCTGTGAAGTGAACCGTAGGGCGTCGCCGCGCAGAGGCAAGAGTCGTGTCTGTTGCCCTTGCCTCGTCTCCTCTCCTGCTTCTTCTAACCCTCCCTTTTTGCGCTGCTTCTGTGTGTGTGTTTGTGTGTGCCTCACGGCCTCCGAGGTGGAGAAAATGGCACAGCGTGGGCGCGGAATGGCACGGAGTGAACACGGAACAGACGGGACTTGCGTTGCTGCGTGGCTCGAGAGTCGTCCCCAAGCAGCACGGCTCAAGTGAGGGTGTGGCGCAGGAGTGGGACAGCGGCGGACTTAGCAAGGTACGTGCCAGGGGATGCTAGTAGGGGGGCATAAAGTGAGTCGTAGGCGTCGCCGCGCAGAGGCAAGAGTCGTTTCTGTTGCTTGCAGGTCCATCAGTTGCCACCTGCTGCTTCTGACCCTCCTTTATTGCGCTGCTTCTGTGTGTGTCTCTCTCTCCCCATGTGTGTGTGTCTCCCTCTCCCCGTGTGTGCGTGTCTCTCTTTCCCCGTGTGTGTGTCTCTCTTCCCCCCTGTGTGTGTGTGTGTCTAGTAGATGGAGAGCAATGGCAGCACGTGGACTCATGAAGTGAGGGTGTGGCGCAAAATTGGGAGAGCAGCGGACGGAGCATGGTACGTGCCCGGGGGTGATTGTAGGGGGGCCGTGAAGTGAGTCGTAGGGCGTCGCCGCGCAGAGGCAAGAGTCGTGTCTCTTGTGCTTGCCTCCGCCACTCACCGCCTGCTGTTTCTAACCCTCCCTTGTTGCGCTGCTTCTGTGGCTGTCTCTCTCCCCATGCGTGTGTGTGCCTCACGGCCTGCGAGACGGAGGGGAATGACAGGGAGTGGACAGGGGATTGACGGTGCTGCTTCTAGCTTGCGCGAGAGACAACTTCCCAGTTATGTATTTTCTCCTCCATACTCTTTGCCTTTTGTGTTGCCAAGCTCTCTCTCATCAACATGCTTCACTGTATTTTCCGCTGAAATGTTGCCATTAGTTGTTGTTGGCCCACTCTCAAGCCACACACTCCTCCTATTGCAGGTAACTCCTTAGGTTCCGGTTTAGGCCCACTAAATGCTTACAGCCCCTTCAGGTTCGCCCCTGCTGCAGGTTTACCCCCTCACGTTCCTCTTGTTGGTCTGTAGCTTGTGGTTGTTCCTCCACCAGTGGCCCTTTCCTTCTCTTACTTTGCAATTTCTTTTATTTGCTGATTCCCTTTGAGTTCACTCATTGGACACTCACTGCTGCCGTGTGGGTGTTGTATGTGCGAGCATGTGTGTGTGTGTGTGTGGCGGGGGGGGGAGGGGCGGGGATGGGAGGGGGGGTTGTGAAGGCGGGTGGGGGGTGCATGGTGGTGAGTGTGCGTGTCAGCCTCCAAGCTCTGGGATGTGTCGCGGATTACTCTTCGAAAAGCTGCTCATCGGGAGGACAATTGAGCTCCTTTTCGTTTTGTGACTTCACAATTCAAGAGGTAACCGGGGGTGAAGATGCAGCAGCAGCCTGAATTCATCCTGCATTGATTTTGTCCCATTCTCGTCTCCAGCTGCCATTTGCGATCTCTTCTGGCTTGTCGATGCTCTTTCACATCCTCAGCTTCTCATCCACTCGCTTCTCCTCTCCTTGCTCATGCCTCTCCTCTCAGCTCCCAAACCCCTCCTCGCCTGTCCTCTCCTCTTCTCTGCAGCAACGCGTGGTGGTCGCGACAACTGCAGCAGCAGCAGCAGTAGTGGACGACGCGCAACCGGGAGCACGGGCAGCAGCAGGACGCTTCTTGGAGCGAGGGCTTGGCGCAGCAGCAACGGAGCAGCCTGGAGCAGCACGCAGGCGTGGTGCAGCAGGCAGAGCGGCCTATTGGCAAAGCGGCAGATGGAGCGTGGTACGTGCCAGGGGGTGCTTGCAGGGGGGCCGTGAAGTAAGTCGTAGGGCGTCGCCGCGCAGAGGCAAGAGTCGTTTCTGTTGCTTGCGGGTCCATCACTTGGCACCTGCTGCTTCTAACCCTCCTTTAGTGCGCTGCTTCTGTGTGTGTCTCTCTCTCCCCACGTGTGTGTCTCTCTCTCTCCCCGTCTGTGTGTCTCTCTCTCCCGTAGTGTGTGGCCGTCTCTCTCCCCCCGTGTGTGTGTGTGCCTCGTGGCCTGCGAGACGGAGAGCAATGGCAGCACGTGGACGCATGAAGTGAAGGTGTGGCGCAAAATTGGGAGAGCAGCCTCCTGCTGCCTTCCTTCTCCAAGACGAGAGGTAACCAAGAGTGAAGATTCAGCAGCGGGGCGAATGGATCCTGCGTTGCTTCTTGTCTCAGTCCCTTTTCCAGCTTCCTTCTGCCATCTATTATGGCATGCCATTGCTCTTTCACATCCTCAGCCTCTCATTAACTCGCTTCTCCTCTCCTTGCTCTCACGCCTCTCTTCCTCGTCCTTGCCATCCTTCCTCCTCTCTCTCCAGCAAAGGGGGCAGTGGATGCAGCAGCAGTGGTGGTGGCAGCAGTAGTTGCAGTGTCAACGGCCACTGCAGTGGTTGGAGCTGCAGCAATGGAGGGGTAATTACAGTCTACCCTGCTTCCAAGTTCCCTCTATATGTTTGTTGTTGAACATCGCTTGCGTTCTTGTCTAGAAACCAGTACCTTACTCGTTCGTTTCCCATGGTCCTTCTCCTCAGCCCTCCCTCCCATCTTTCTGTATCCTAATATTATGGTGCCCTCGTCTCCCCCGCCTCTCCCTTCATCCATGTCCTTGTATCTTGTTGTTGTTGCGACTCGCAACAATTTGCGGCCTTGTTTTTCTCCCCTCTCCATGTCCCATTGCTGTCTCTCGCAGCATCCGTGGGGGAAGCAGTGGCAGCAACAGCAGTGCTGCTTATTCTACATGGTGGGTGTGATGGCCGATTCTGCAACGGGGAGTTACTAACCTTGTTCTCGTACCTTTTTTTTTCACTTAGTGCTCGCCTTTCAATAGCCACCTGACGTGAATACAACACACAACTAATCTTTGCCGTCTGATCATCTTTACTTCTGCAGCTTTTACGTCGCTCCTCCTTTTTCTTTTTCTTCCTTCCATGTCCCTTTGCTGTCTCGTTGGCAGCTTCTCTGTGTAATTGGCTCTTCTGTTCATGTGCAGTGCCAAGTGCAGGGCGGGGTAGAGGACATGTGGGGTGTCGCATTGCATGGTGGTGGACGACCATGAGTTCAACAAGCGCTGCCTGTGTGCTTCGCTTCGCCGTGCTTAGCGGTCCTCAACTGTCTTCAGATGTGCCTAGGTGTGCTTATCATTGCTTAGTCGTGCTGTACTTAGTTTTGCTGTGTCGCACTGTTCCGCCCATCAGTTCCCCCCATGAGTTTCGCCCATCAGTTCCCCCCATCAGTTCCGCCCATCAGTTCCGCCCATCAGTTCCCCCCATCAGTTCCCACCCCATCAGTTCCCACCCCATCAGTTCCCACCCCATCAGTTCCCCCCATCAGTTCCCCCCATCAGTTCCGCCCATCAGTTTCCCCCATCAGTTCCGCCCATCAGTTCCGCCCATCAGTTCCGCCCATCAGTTCCCCCCATCAGTTCCCCCCATCAGTTCCGCCCATCAGTTCCGCCCATCAGTTCCCCCCATCAGTTCCGCCCATCAGTTCCCCCCATCAGTTCCCCCCATCAGTTCCCCCCATCAGTTCACCCCATCAGTTCCCCCCAACAGTTCCGCCCATCAGTTCCGCCCATCAGTTCCCCCCATCAGTTCCCCCCATCAGTACCCCCCATCAGTTCCGCCCATCAGTTCCCACCCCATCAGTACCTGCCGAGAGGCCGCACAGATGACGGCACGCGTAGCTCGTACGAGACGACGCCATTTCTGTAGATCCACGCGGCGTTCTTCCGTGCTTCTGCCGATGCCGCCGCTGGTGCTGCTGCTCCTGCTGTGCAACGACGGCACCACAAACAGCGGGCTAGATGGGTGGATCGTCAGCAGCAGCAGCGCGCCGTTCACTGCATGGCCGCGAGGGATCCCCGTCGTCGCCGCTGAGCCACGTCTGGACAAGTCACAAGGTGCTGCCACGTGTGCCCTTGTGCGCCACGTGCGCCGCGATAATCGCGGCGTGACGTGCGTTCCCAACCCCGCTCTCCACGTCCCCTAATCCCCGCATAGAAACTCCTTACATGCCGTTTTCCCGTTCCGTCGTTGCCCCTGCCCACATTCTCCTCTGCCCCCACGTCTCTCTCCCTCTCTGCGGCGCACATTCTCTCTATCTCTCTGCTCCCCCCAGTGGCGCCTTTAACGGCGTGCGCGGCGGCATGGGGCGTGGCGTTTTTAGACCCGTCCGACCCCATGGATTGTGGGATCGCCGGGCATCAGGGTGTTGAACAGCGGTGGCATAGCAGGACCCATCCCAGCCAGCATCGACGCCCTCATCGGACTCACCCACCTGTCAGCCGCCCTGCCCCTCCACTCCACCCTCGCACCCCTAGCACTGTGCCGGCCCCTGTTTGCATGTGCCCTGCAGCGATCTAGACAACAATGCATTGCGTGTGCTCTGTTTGCACTTCAAGTTAAGTCGTCTCGCCATGTCTTTTGAGAATTCTCAAAACTGATTTCCATCTCGACTGCTGTTGCTCAATGCCAACGACCCCCCCGGCCTTTTATCGCCACCGTCCCTCATTGCCGCCTCTCCGCCCCCCCCCTCATCCTATCCATACCCATCCGTCCCCATACTTAAACATGAATATCCATCCATACGCATCCCTGACCCTCCATCTCCCATTCCTTCGCCCCGCTTCCCTGTCTACCCATGCTCCTCTCCCATTGTGCAACACGTCATGGCATGCAATCTGCGTGTGTGTGCACTGCAGTGATCTAAACAACAATGCCTTGACAGGGTCCATCCCCCCCACCATCAGCCACCTCACACGCCTGCTCCACCTGTCAGTCACTCACTCTCCCCACCACCCTCTCCACCACCCTCCGCTCCTGTCAGTCACCCACCCTCGCCGCCATCTTGATTCCTTTGTGTATTATTCTTTCCAGCCCGCTTCCCTCCCCTCACACGGCTCTCCCCCTCCCATCCCATCGGACACACAGAGTCCCCCCTGTGCTTCTCTCCCCCCCCGTTCCCTATCCTCGTTGTCCGCAGCGACCCGAGTTACAACCAGCTCTCTGGTTCCATTCCCACCGCCATCGACGGCCTTCTCTCCATCACCGAGCTGTATGAATGAGCATTTGTGCGCAGTCTGCCGAGCATTTGTCTCTGGAGTTTCGTGTTTCTAAAAGTCTGCATGCATTCGTGTGCAGTGCAAAACTTTCAGTACCTCCTCGTTTCATTTCTTGTGTCTGCCTGCATTCCTCTCCCCTTCCTCTCGTCCCTCTTTGCCACCCTCTTCTCGCTGCAGCAACTTTAGGCTGAGAGGCAGCATTCCTGCCGTTATTGGCAATGTCACCACACTGTGCGCCCTTTCTCTCTCTCTCCCGCTCTTTCCTTCTCTCGTGACCTCTCACCACCTCCACCCAACCCCCTCTTCCAACCGTATTCTTTCTTGCTTTCCTCTCTCTCATCTCACCTCCCTCATCCCCTCTGCTCATGTTGCTTTCAATGTGAATCCACTTTCGTTTTCCTGAAATCTCTTGAATTTGTGGAATTCTTCTGAGCGTCTGCAGTGTCTCTGGATTTTCCCTGGATTCATCCTGGCAATTTCTCAGAGACACATACCAACCTCCTATCCCCCCGCTCCCCCACCCCTCCCTTCCCCACCACAACCTCCCCCCCCGCGTGCTGCTACCTCCCAACACGTCACCACACGCAGCTACCTGTCGTCGAACCAACTGAACGGGTCTCTGCCAGCCCAGATCGGCAACCTGCACCACCTCTCCACGCTGTGAGCGAGCCGCACTTGCCTCCTTGCTCTCCTTTTGAGGCGCCTCAAAAGTGCTCTCCTCCCTCCCCTCCCTCCCGTGCACGTGTGCACCCTGAAAGGTGTGAAGAATGCGAGGGGTGTGTGCGGGGTGTGCGAGGAGTGGGCGCAGACGGGGTTGAGAGAAAGTGTTTCCATGAAGGATTGATGAGGGAGGAGAAGGAATGGTGAGGATGGAGCGATGCCAAGGGTGCCTCTTTGCTCAATCCGTGTGACTTAATTCTTCTTATGCAGCCGTTGCACAAGCTCCCTTTCTCTTGGACCCCTTTTATGTTTCCGTACGCCAACTGCCAACTGCCTATGCACAAGCCAAAACGCAGTTACACAGGCAAGTGCGAGCTGTCACTGTGCCCTCACCTGGTTCATCTGCCCTCATGTGCTTCTTCTCCCACCCGTGTTGTCCGCATCCGCTTCTTCTCCCAGCCCTTCAGGTGCGGATTGGTGTTCGCATGAAGTGGCTGATTGGTGTCATTTGACGGCAAGAAGAGGCAGCATCTTATGTGGGGACACTCAGTGCGCATCTCAGTCAGCGCGTTCCCCATGCTCACCACCAACATTGTTGGACAGGCCAGGCCAGGCGGATTGCAGCTAAAATGCTCCATTCGACGGAATGAAAGTGGCGTCATCATGTGCCGGAATCGGGGATTCCCATGCTATGATGCTACCACTCCCGCTGGTTGATCAACCCCCAAACTTACGTTTCAGCTTTGAGTACGAATGCGACCGATTCTTTCGAAGTTACCGTAAGGTTATATTTCGTTGTACATTATTGGGAAACCCGCTGGTCGAAAAAAGAAAGTAAGTGGTTCCTGGATTGTTTGACGTTTATTGATTATTTCAAATGGCATGTAAACATGTAAGGGCGCATCACCTTGGACTTAAAACCAGGGTGCACATTCAACGCGGTTCGGCTTGAGATGTTGGGAAGGGGGTTTGGAGAAAAACAGTGATTGGCTCACGAGGGGCGACAAAAAAATGATTCCGCTAGAGCTTCGGGCATTTCGTAGGTGGCGGGAGGGGGTGAAATGGCGGGAGTGGGTGAAACCGAATGGCGGGAGGGATGAAACAGATTGGCGGGAGGGGGGGAAACGAAATTGCAGGGGAGGGGGGAAACAAAATTGCGGGGGAGGGGGGAAACGAATTTCGACGGGGAGGGGGAAATGAAATTGCGGGGGCGTGGGGAAACGAAATTGCGGGGGAGGGGGGAAACGAATTTCGACTTGAAGGGGTTGAAAGCACACCTCGTAACCCACTCAGTCAAGGGATAACCTTTGATGCACATTCAGCTGAATGTGCACCCCGGTTTTAAGAACAGGCTATTCGAACCACCGCCATACCGAAGCGAATTGTCCGTTTGTTTAACCGCACTGTAACTGACTGAACAACCCCGGATTCTGGGCGTTCGAACGCGCACAAATGTGTGACGCAGACAAGGAGAGAGACGTGAGAGACGTGCGACGGGAAGACGGCATGCCCTCGGAAAAAAGGATCGGGAATCACGGCACACCCTTGGAGCCGCTCTTCGGAATCTCGTTTCTGATTGGCCGTTAGATGCCATTTGAACCCCCTCTCTCAACCAGCTGTTGACAATCACGACACGCGGCGAATTTTGATGTGAGCTTGCAAGGAAGTGTCCTTGCAAGGAGATTCTAGGGGACTTGGAAAGCGGGGTTCGGATCGCACGTCACGCCGCGTCATCGGGGCACATGGGGGCACACAAGGCACTCGTGACAGCACCTTGTGACTTGTGCAGACGCGGCTCAGCGGACCACGGTCGTAGGGATCCCTCGCGGCCATGCAGTGAACGGCGCGCTGCTGCTGCTGACGAACCACCCATCTAGCGCGCTGCTTGTGGTTCCGTCGTTGCAAAGGAGGGGCAGCAGCGCTTCTTGTTTAGCCACGCCTCATTCTCTTCGGCTCCTCTAGCTCCGTCTACCTTCCACTTCCCGTTCCAGTACATCTCGCTCATCCAGTGTGCTCTCACCCTCTCGCTTTCTCCCACCGTAAGCGAGAAGAGGTTACGAAACCTTGTTCAACCCAACGAGTACCGAGATCTCTGAGTAAGTCTTGCAGATTTAGATCCATAGTCCAGATTACCGTTCACCGCTTTCACCGTTCATCGCTTTCACTGTTCATCGCTTTCACTGTTCATCGCTTTCACTGTTCACCGCTTTCACTGTTCACCGCTTTCACTGTTCACCACTTTCACTGTTCATCGCTTTCATTGTTCACCACTTTCACTGTTTATCGCTTTCAGTGTTCATCGCTTTCACTGACCATCGGTTTCACTGTTCATCCTGCTCTAACTTCTTTCTTCTGTTGCTCACAACTTTCGATGCTTCCCTGCTTTCCTCTCTACCCTGATATTTCTTTTCCTTCCCCCTTACTTGTGCCTTCATGAGTCTTCTTTACTCGTGTATTCATTGATACATGATCCTTCCTCGACTTTTAATGCAGACTTCCATTCTTCATGTCTCCATGCATTCTCCTCTAAAATTCCTGTCCTCCACACCTGCCGCCTTTCCCTCTATACTTCATCCCACCCAAAGCCATCCCTCTTCCCGTTTGTTTTCTTCTCTATCTTCTCTCCTTCCCCCCTTCGATTTCCCCTATTGACTTCACCCCCCCATCTGTTCCTCAGCACAAGAGCCAGCTCTAGCACAGCCTTTTGAAGCGCCTCAAAAGTCCTCCCCCTTCTTGCTTATTCCCATCTGTTTCACAGCACAAGAGGCAGCTCTAGCACAATAATTCCTGTCTTTTCTCTCTCTCTCTTCCCCACACCCCCCATTCCCATCTGTTTCACAGCACAAGAGGCAGCTCTAGCACAATAATTCATGTCCTCTCTCTCTCTCTCTTCCCCACACCCCCCATTCCCATGTGGTCCACAGCACCCCCCATCTGTTCCTCAGCACAAGAGCCCGCGCTAGCACCTGTTCCGCCTCCTCATCGGCACCCATTCTCTAGTCAGCTAACACGTGGAGAGCGCCACTCCCTTTTTTGACAACTGTTGCTGCCAGTTCGGTAAGTTTATAGCTCGGGCAGGCACTCTCTCATGCCCCATGCCTCTACACACTCTTGAATACCCCATGCTCGCATGCACCTCATCATTTGCAGAAACCTTGAATGAGATTTTACATTGTGAAAGTCATTTTCTTGCTACGACACGCCTTCACGTATCTGCTGCCATGCCTGGTGGATTTTATTGCATGCGGTTCTATGCGGCTAATACCTCCCTGTGGCTGTACATCCACACACTCCCTCCTTCCGTCCCATCATTCTGCCAGATTCTATAATTTGCAGACGAATTTAGATCCAAATTCAGGTCTCAAACACGTGCAATCGGCGAGTGAGCGAGTTGGTGAGTGCGTGTGAGCGGGCTAGCGAGTGAGTGCGTGTGCTGTGTGACCGTGTGATTGAGTTATTTTTGGGAGTGAGTGAGGGAGTGAGTCTGTGTGCCATGTGCATGTGTGCCGAATCTTGTGCTATCGATAGCGTTTGCAACTCTTTGGATTTTGTGCCTTCCCCAAGCTCCATTGATTGATTCGTGTGACTGCAACGTCACTGCGGCAGAGGCCTGCTTGATTCTAATCTAATGCATGGTGGTGTGACTGTGACTGTGACTGTGGCTGTGGTGGCTGTGACGGTGACTGTTGCTGTGACTGTGACTGTGACTGTAACAGGTTGAGCCGGCAGAGTTTGCAAGGGAGCTCTCTCTCCTGCCCCACATCGTCAGGAGCAGCCCTCAAGTCGTCTTTGCTCGCTCCGTTGCCAGGTACTCCCCGTTCCATTCCTTTCAAGGGCTGCTGTATCAGGGTGGTATGGGGGCTAGTTGTACCTTAGCTGTACCTCGAGGTGAGTTTGCCTCATCTCCCTAACCACCTGGGCCCCGTCACCCACCTCCCTGACCCTCAAACACCTCCCCTGCCTCCCTCCCTTCCTCTCCACACGCTCTCGAACATCACTTAACTCTTTCGATTTCGTTTCCCTGTTTTTGTTTGCTACAGTGGGGGATTAAGGGGGACATAAGAGACTTGGGGGGGACTTGGGGGGTGGGGGACAACAACGTGTCGTGTCTCTGCCGGCTGGACCCTTTGCCACGCTCTCCCGCCGCCCACCTCTCGCTGCCCACTCCCACCTGCCTCCTCCCACCTCTCCTTGTCCTCTCCTGCTCCCATCTTCTCGTTCTCTCTCCTCTCTCATCCTCTTCTCGTCCTCTCTCCACTCTGCTGCTTCATTTCCGCCAACGCTTTTCCTGCCCTCACTCCTGCACGCACACACACAAAGAGAGAGAGAGATACACACACATCTCTTTCTGAAGGTATTGGAACTTGAGCTGTATCTCAACGTGACGAGGAGTGGCATGATGCTTCGTCACGCTACTCCTGCACCCCACAAGCCAAGCCCCTGTGATGGCGAAGCCATTATTTAGCATGACGCACCGCCTTGCTAGCTACAACAGAAACGACAGGCAGCAGCAGCAGCAGCAGCAGCAGCAGAAGAACATCATATCACCTTGAGACTCCTCGAAATTATACATGGCGCCTGCTGGGCGGACGAGTCCGTAGTGTAAACCGAGCAGGGCGAAAAGTGAGAGCGAAACCAGAGCCCTCGTCCACTGCTCCATCTTGTCCTAGCCGCCGAGGCACCAGGTTTGAATAGCCCGAGCCCGAGCCTGAGCCCCACGGCTGAATAGAATCCTCTCTTGCGGTGGCCGACAGCTGCTTGTCAAGGCGCGGTTATACTAGAGATTGTGGAGATGGTCAAGGTGGATGTAGAGATTGTGCGGGACGACGAGCATGGCTGGTCATACACGAGTCGATTCCACTCCTCTCCTCTCTCTCGAGAGAGTATATCACTGGTCGTGGCGCGGTCGCGATAGAACTATACTTGTCAAGAATAGAAAAGAACGAGCGGGAGGTGATGGTGTTCAAGTTGTTGTGGACAACCGTGTGGTCTTCTCATGAACTCATTTACAAGAAACCACGCACCGTGGGCGATTCCATATCTACAACCCCACCACCACGAGAGCTCTGTCCGATATGCTGCCTGCCTTCGCCGGAAAAAGCGAAGAATTCCTTTCCGCAGCTGCTTGCGAGCAGCCAGGCTCCTTGCTTTTCTTGGCCATGGCCAGCAGGGCACACGCCCACGGCGGCAAAGGTGCCGGCGACGACGGTCAACGTGGGTCTACCCGGCGCAGTGCCAACGCGACCGGCGGCCACGGCACCACGCAGCGTGACATCAACGGTGAACACGGTGAACTATCATATTTCTTCCTCTTTTCACCGAGAGTATGACGCTCTCTTCTCACAAGGCTCGTGAGCATCACGTGATGATGGTATCACTGTGGTCGGATCACTCTATCATCCGTCGAGTCGTGGTCTGGTGACGTGATAAAAAAAAAAACAATAAAAAAGGAATGCGTTTGAGACGCGCCACTGTGAAAGAACACTGAAGAGTCAATCATGGTCTCGTCTGGTGCTGCTGACACTCGGAACGGGACGACGGGCACAAGATTATCGTTCGTGCGGAGTCAGGCGGAGCATGGATGAGTCGTGTCATATCGTACGCAACGCATCGGCATGAGTCATGACGCGACGAACGGAGCGCGGCGGTTATATAGAGAGCCGCGGGCTCCGCTTGAAGGGAGGTCCCGCACAGCGCGCACAGCACCACTAAACGATGAAGAGTGCTGGTGAACACGCGCTGATGCACAGAAACTTTCTCTCTGTCCCGCACACCGCGGCAGACTATCCTTCACATGTCATTCCAGGAATGGGGAAGGCAGTTGCTTTGAGAGGGTCGAGGGAGCTTGCGGCGATGAACAGTAGCACCTGAGCGCATGGTATGGTACATCCCATCCCAGCGGGGAGCACAGCTGCACAGCCGTGCTGGACAGCGGAAAGGAAGATAGCTGTGCTGAGCTGAGCTGAGATGCGGGAAAGAGCAGCACGGCTGAATCCAGTGTGCCCCAAACGAAGGCAAGATTGGTTCTTGAAGATTGATGGGTGGCGGATTTGCCGCGAGGTGGAATGGAACAGAACGGAACTTGAGGAATGGAGCGACGATGTGAATGGATTGTTCGCCTTATGAACAGCTCGGTTACGAGAGGAGCAATGATGCACTTAATTACATACATAACTGCTCGCAGTTACGGTAAGCTATATCTAATGTGCTTTGAGTGTGTTCCAATAATCAAAATAAAATCAAGGACAACGTTAGAACTAGAGCGCTTGTAAGCAGAACAAGTGCTTGAGGTCGGCTGTCCCCACTATTGTCTGCATGCAACACAGGAAAGACAAAAAAAAAAAAAACAGAAACATGTACTATCTTATTAGTCTACCCAGTTTGGGAAGAGCATAAGGGCGAGGTAGCGCGTTCGTCCATCACAATCGCTCAGTTCATTTGTCGTAGCAACAGAAATATTCCAGGCGGTGCACAGCGGTTAGAAAGTTCTCACCTTTTTAACCCGTGACCGCAACGAGAGTAACTCACCCTCAGCAATCATGGAAGTGGGACATATGTACTTGTGATGGTGTTGCACTCACATTGTGGGCAAATTGTGCAGAATTGCATGCATCGATCGCAGAACTCTGATCCACGATACTGCTTCACATCGCACTTGTCAACATTGGGACACTCCACTGCCTTGTCCAAACTCCTGATACACATTATTTTGAACGGAATAATGGAAAAGCGACAGTGAGAGACTATGTTAGGCGGGAAGAGCAGGCATATTTTCCAACTGCTGCCCTTTTTCGCCAGCAGCTGTAACAAATTTATTCGTAACCACACTATGGTGACTATGGCTGCTTAGTAATCAAATACTAACCTCTGGAAAGCAAATGTGGGCGAATATGATTACATGGAGTAGAGCGTGATTAGGTTGCCCAATGTGGGAGGCAAGGGGCCTTGTATGCTGTTGTTGCGCAGCTCACTACATGGAAAGAAGGGACAGATCATACAACACAGAAACATGGAGGAGCAAACATCGGTGCAAAGAAAAAGGAGGGAGGGGGGGGGGGGGGGGAGGAGGGTGGGGGGGACTACGATTAAAGGCGAGCATGTGACGGAAGCTGAGTGTGAGCATAGAAAAGGCAGGATTGAGGAAGAGCCGCAGATAAGGGGAGGAGGAGAAGGGCATGCTCACAGCTCCTCCAGGCTCCCCAGGCCACCAATGGAGCTTGGGAGTGACCCGCCGAGGCCGTTGCTGCGCAGAGCACTGCGTGACGATGCAGGGGGGCGGAGAGAGAGTGGAGAGGAGGGCACGGCAGGTGGGCCATGACAGGCAGACAGGTGGGACCCATGGAGGGAAGCGGAGCGGGAAGCAGAGTGAGGGAAGCAAAGGGAAAAGAAACCTGAATACAAAACCCTTTGTCTCTCTTTCTCCACCCTCTGAACTCCCGTCCATTCTCTTTTCCTCAAAACAATCCCTTTCTCGTGCAGACAACCTCCCCTCCCCTCCCTCTCTCTGCCTTTGCTCCCTCTCTCCCCCCAACCGAACCCCTTCTCCCCTCCTCAAGTGGGTTGCATGCAATGGGTTGCATGCAATGTGCATGCAAGGCAACCATGCAAGGGGTTGCATGCAATGGGTTGCACGGGCAGCGACTCACAGCACTTGCAGGTTGGAGAGGTTGCCTATGGATGCAGGCAGGGACCCCGACAGCTCATTGCCACCCAGGTAGCTGCACAGTGGGGGAGGGGTGGGGCCGGAGGGGTGGAAGGGTGAGTCGGAGGCGAGGGTTATGGTTTGCAGGGGAAGGGGTGGAGCGGGGGAGAGTAGCAGCAACGGTGTTTAAGTAGGAATTGCACGGTTGCAAGGTTGATGAATAGTTGCAAGATTATGTGGAGTGCATCAGCGGCGGCAGGGCTTACAGCGTTTTGAGCTGTGCCAAGTTGCCGATGGCATCTGGAATGGACCCGTTGAACATGTTGTTGTGCAGGTCCCTGCCGTGGCATGGCATGGCATGGCATGGCATGGCATGGCATGGCATGGCATGGCATGGGGAGAAAGGGAGAAGAAGGGTGCGAGAAGAAGGGTGTGATAAGAAGGGTGCGAGAAGAAGGGTGTGAGAAGAAGGGTGTGAGAAGAAGGGTGTGAGAAGAAGGGTGTGAGAAGAAGGGTGTGAGAAGAAGGGTGTGAGAAGAAGGGGAGCATATGGATGATAAGTGCATGGTAGTGCATGATAGGATACGAAAGACATGTGTCAACCAGACATGGTCTGGCACACGCAAGTGGCAGACAAATGAGTCGCGCACGCAGTTAAGGTAGGAGGAGAGAAGGCGAGCTGAGCGGCAGAGGTGAATTGAGACGTACGAGACGTCAAGAGGCAGAGAGTAGAGTAGAGTAGAGCAGAGCAGAGTCAAATTGAAAGGGAGGGGAAGGTGGCATGGGCGTACAGGTAGACGAGGGAGAGCAGGCGTCCGATGGTGGATGGTATGGCGCCCGAGAGAAGGTTGTTGCTCATGCCCCTGCAGGGAGACACATGCACGGGATGGCTTGAAACCATGTTTGTGGGTGCCATGGCATGGTATGGTGTGGTATGGTATGGTATGGTCAGGTACCCACGGTACGGTATGATACTCCACTGTACGGTATGGTATGGTACGGTACGGTATTGTATGGCATGGCATGGCATAAAACTGCCTGGAGGGACGACTGACAGGGCAGTGAGTGCAGTGAGGTTGCCAACTTCGGCAGGCAGAGGCCCCTGGAACCGGTTCGTCTGATTCTCTGCGTAGAACCGCTTCCTCACTGCCCCCACGTCCCTGGTCATGCGCACCACGAGAGAGCGGGAATGAAGGGGGAAACGGGGAAAATGGGGGGGAAGGGGGAGAGGGGAGGGAAGAGGGCATAAGGAGGGGAGGGAAGAGGGGGTAAGGAGAAGAGGGGAAGAGGATGAAAGAGGAGGGAGGAAGCACGTAAGAACCACCCACCAGGCTGGTTGGTTAGGCAACTGTTAGGCATTGTGTGCGGGACAGAGGGCATTGCTGGAAAATCAATCAGGTGGCTTGGCACTCGAGGAGGTTGCATGTGAGGAGGTTGCATGTGAGGAGGTTGCATGTGAGGAGGTTGCATGTGAGGAGGTTGCATGCACATACAGATGCACGAGCTGTGTGAGGTTGAAGAGCGAGGCGGGCAAAGAGCCGTTTAGCGCGTTCGAGGCGAGCTTGCTGGGGGCGCAGGGAGAGAGGGAGAGGCGGGGAGGGAGGGGGAGGGAAGGGAAAGGGAGAGGAGGGAGGGGGGGAAAGGAGGGGGAGAAGGGAAGAGCGGGAGATGAAGAGTATAAGCAGAAGGGTTTGGGGTTTGGGAGAAGGAAAGGGACTGCATATTAAACCAAAAGTAAGTTTGGGAGACCTGACGAAGCACATGCACGTGGCTTTTATTTTTGCGCATGTGAGCAAATGGCATGTGCGTGTGGCCACGGATGAGCGGCTATATTTAAATCACTTTTGAGAATTCTCAAAAGTGGGTGTGCGTGTGGCCACGGATGAGCGGCTATATTTAAATCACTTTTGAGAATTCTCAAAAGTGGGTGTGCGTGTGGCCACGGATGAGCGGCAGGGTGGACGGACAGACAGGAAGAGCGGGTGCACTGGCCTAGCACAGCACAGCACAGCACAGCACCATTCCACATAGCACAGCACTACAGGACTCACAGAAAAGAGACATTGTAGAGCAGTCCGATAGAGGATGGAATGGGGCCAGAGAGGTAGTTGTCACTGAGGTCACTGCAGGACAGGAGGACGGAGAGGAGAGGCAGGAAGGCGAGAAACAGAGAGGAAACGGGAGATGAAATTCGATTTGACAAACAATACTGAGGAGGATGAGTTGTGCGATGGCGACTGCATAGTTTCGAAGTTCAAAAAGGCCCACTTTAGTGAAAAAAAAAACAAAGCAAGAGAAAGCCAGGGGAGGAACAAGCAAAGCAACTTTGCAGCAGAAAAAGCCAACTTCCCACTTCTACCCTGTCCTGTCTTAGAATCTCCATCCATCCAGCATCCCCTCCCCTCCCCCCATTCATCATCCCCTCCCCGCCCCCCCTCTCCCCCACTCCTCTGCACTCACACTACTTTAAGGCTGCGCATGCGGCCAATAGCAGCAGGGATGGTGCCGTTGAGCCAGTTGCTGCTCAGGTCCCTGCCATGCCATGGGAGGAGGACACCCCACCCACACCACAGGGGGACGGAACGGACGGAACCGTCAGGAGTAGGTGGCGCGGACCAGAGCGCAAGGGGATAGACGTGCATCGGATGTGGGATTGGATAGTAAGCATGAGTGCGGCAAGCGAGGAGGGGGGAGCGCTGGTGAATGAAGGAGGGTGCAGGGGTGCAGGGTGGTGCAAGCAAGGTGGGTTCTTGCATGTGCGGGCACTCATGAGGCCTGCTCTGCTCTGCTCTAGCGCCCTTGCGGGGGCATGTGGCATGCGGGCATGGGGCCATGGGGGCATGTAGGCCCGCGGGAATGGGGGCGTGCAGAGGGGAGGGGAAGGAGCAGCAGGAGGAAGAGGTGAGTGGTGACTGACAGGTACGAGAGACTGGCGAGCGCGCCCAGGCTGGCTGGTATGGACCCGTTCAGGAAATTGCTGCTGAGCCCTCTGCGGGGAGGAGTGTGCGGCAACAGGGGGAGGGCAGGGGGAGGGTAGGGGGAGGGCAGGGGGAGGGCAGGGGGAGGGCAGGGGGAGGGTAGGGGGAGGGCAGGGGGAGGGCAGGGGGCGGGTAAGGGAGGAGGACAAGGGTGGGACAGGGGAAGGAGAATGCGAGACAGGGGGAGGACAGGGGGAGACAGTGGGAGGTTAGGAGGGAGGGACAACGTGACTCGGGAGATTTGCGAGAGGGAATAGATGAGTAAGACGGACAGGGGCGTGGAAAATGGAGGGGGGAGGGGGAAGAATAAGAAGCAACGAGTTGGTAAGTGGGTGAGTGGGAGAGTCAGTGTGAGCGTACAGTGAGTGGGAAGATGGGGTTGAGTGGGTGAGTGGGTGAGTGAGTGAGCATGGGTGCGCGCGTACAGGAAGGTGAGGTTGCGGAGGGTGCCGAGGTTGGGGGGGATGGGACCGGTGAGCTGGTTGACCATGTTGGTGCTGGACGGTGACTCCCGCGTGGACCCCAGGTCGCTGTGAAGAACGAATCAAAGAATGAAAGAACCAAAGGGGGAGAGCAACATCTTATGAGGCGCCTCAAAGGATGGGTGGGACCGGTGAGCTGGTTGACCATGTTGGTGCTGGACGGTGACTCCCGCGTGGACCCCAGGTCACTGCCATGGAAGGACGAGTCACCGAGTCCAAGGGGGAGACGCACACCGCACGCGGAACGAGAGGGACGGAGGAAGGGGGATGCCTCAGAACATGGGTGCAGAAGGAGCAAGAGCGGGAGGAGCAAGAGCGGGAGGAGCAAGAGCCATGTGTGAGTGAGTGACTGACAGGTATGTGAGGTTGGAGAGGAGAGCCAAGGTGTCGGGGATGAACCCGGTTAGCTGATTGTACCGCATGTCACTGTCAGATAGATACAAGGCGGGGATGAGAATGGAAGGGGAGGAGGGGGAAGGGGAGGAGGGGGAGGGGGAGGAAGGACGGTAGAAACGACCCCCACTTTACTCCAAGCCAAACGACCACACTTCAGAAAATGGGATTCTGACGACTCAAAAGTAGAACCAATGTTTTTTTCTAAACGTTTTCAAACACTATGTCAATATAAAAGTTTAAAGTGCTCTAAGGAACCTTAGCAAGGCAGCTTTACACTGCCAGCAAACTCCTAGTTAGTAAATAATCTGGTCATGCGCGCAGTGACTTGGGTGCTGTGTGTGTGTCTGTTCTCACTGGACGCCGACTCACAATGAAAGAAGGCTGGAGAGATTTCCAACCTCCAGTGGTATGCTGCCACTTATCCTGTTCACACTCAAATCTCTGTGCGCCCACCATACAGAGCAACATGCAATGTGACACAGCGGGGCAAGGCGGCAAAAGATAGGGCCAGGGACGTTAAGTGCAGTGTGAGGGTGGGTGACTGACAGGACACACAGCACGTGCGATTGCAAGAGGATTCTGACGCAAGCGACAGGGAGAGAGGAGATGTGCTTACAGGTACTTGAGCTGGCTCAGGTTGCCGATTGCAGAGGGCAAGTTGCCAATGAGGGTGTTGCTGCTAAGGTTGCTGTGAGCGTGAAGAAAAGGGCGCACACGAGATTGCTTGCAGCGGTCAGAAGGGGACAGGGTGGTGGGGGGTTTCTTTTCTATCAGTGAAGAGGAAGTGTAGAAAGCTGGAGGTTGTTCTTTAAGGATTCTGTATCCATGAACAATCTGTGAAGAGGGAGTGGAGCAAGCAATGAAAGCATCCATGCATGCACACGAGCATGAGAGCATGTGGTTGTGTGGGGATGTGTGTGGCCATGTGCATGCATGACATGAGTGAGTGAGTGAGATAGTGCATGAGCAAGTGTGTGAGATTGAGAGTGAGGGAGTGATGGTGAGAGTGCGCGTACAGGGATGTGAGGGCACTGAGGTCGCTGATGTAACTAGGAAGCACGCACTCCATGCCCACATCCCACAACGACCTGATGGGCCAACGACAGACAGAGGGAGAAAGGAGCGGGACACAGAGAGAGCGAGAAGGGGAGAAAGAGAGAGGGATGAGTGTGTGCGTTAGCGTCTGAAAAGGAGGTTTCTCATTGGGCAGAAGCAGGAAGGGCGTGGAGTGGAGTGGAGTGGAATGGAGTGGTGGAGTGGAGAGGAGTGGAGTGGAGTGGAGAGGAGTGGAGTGGAGTGGAGACACAGTGACCAAACCCGGGAAGGTGGGGTACACCAAGACGAGAGAGGCAAATGTATATCCCTCCTTCCCCCTCCACACTCACATGTTCCCAACCCAACCCAACCCTGCTGCCATTCCTCCCAGCCCCCTCGGCACTCACAAGCTCTGAACCATCCCCGCGCCATCGCACGTTAGTCCCGGGGCATTGGCGCAATCCGCGCCCTCCCCCCACGCCGTGTACGTCAGCCCGCACGCGGACGACAGCTCGCGCAGCACGGAGACTGCGCGGGGGGAGGGGAGACGGGGGGGTGGGTGGAGTGGCGGAGTGGCGGGGTGGCGGAGAGGTGTATAGGGTAAGGGGACCAGAGGGGGGCAAGCTGACCGTGAGGAGCAGGAGGGAATGGGGAAAGAGGAGAAGGTTTTTGTGAGGAAAAAGAGGATGGGCAACGGAATGAAATCTGGTACGGGAGATCTGGAGGAACGAGGCTAGAAGAAGGTTCAAGTGAGGGGCTCGGGGCGGCTCGCCAGACCTTGCGATGGGTGAATTGTAGGAGCCGCGTGCGCGTGGTGCGAGGACGACAGCAGGAGGAGGAGGAGGTGACTGAAGCACACGGCGACGGCCAATAGCGGCGCCATGGGGGCGCTGCGGTTCTGGCCTTGACGGTGCTCGATACAGAGTAACAGAAAACCCTGCGACGCGGCCGGAGAAAGTACTCGGTTAGATGTGTGCAAACGCGTGCAACGGGAGCGGGGAGACGCGGAGAAGGCGACGGGCAGGAGGGCAGCTGGCGGAAGGGAGAATTGCGGAGGAGTGCTAGGAGTTAACGGTGAAACAGGGTGCGATTAGCGAGAGCGAAGTTATACCTTGTTTTACGGTCCTACGGCCGTCCGGCAAACGAGTTTTGGCGGCTTTCCGGCAAAAAAGCAAGCGACAGAGAAAGCAGTGAAATATATACTAAGCGAGCAGGTGGCGGTAGATGAGACGCGGAGACGAAGCGCGCAGTTGCTAATTAAAAGGTCTGAAGGTGCAGTTTGGAGCTGAAAGTTTGTCGAAATGCATACAAGGACGCAAAAGAGGGTTGGCAATGGCTAGGAATCACCTCACCTCTGGCTTGTGTACGCATTCATCGTGATTCGTTTTGGTTCGGTTTGGTATGGTTTCGTGGTGTGGAGTTGCGGGAAGCAAATTGGCTTGTCTGGTTTGGATTGTTTTTGGGAGACGCGGAAAACCCAAGGTCGTGATGGCGTGCTGGTTCGGCAAACCAGGCTGCAGATAGGTTACGCGTCGTAGCTTGCGTGATTGGATGGAATGCGAGGTTCCTGGATGCAGACGGGGGTGTAGCAGGCTTGGGGGATGAGGGGGGAGGAAAGCGCCTACCCCAGCTTCAGTGCCCAGGCTCGTGCGAGGGAGTGCATCACCACCTGCTAGTGTGGTGCGCCCACTGTCCCACTCGCCCACAGCCCCCATGCAGTCTAGGTCGCTCGGGCAGCCTCAACAATGTTTGCCCTCCAGCCGCAACGCTACGCTACAGTAAATATGTTGCGTCTCGCGACGGGCCCTTACGAGGATACGACAAGTTCGAAAAGTTCTTGAGAGAATTGCTCCAAGGCCTTGTTTGGTGATTCGCTCTTGCCCACGTGTCCCCGAATTGCTCACGTGGCCATCAAATTCAGTGATAATTGCTCGAGTGGCCACGCCAGGGGATTTTCGAGGTGTTTGTTTTCCCCGGAACATTACCCTATAAGAAATTTAGCCCCGAAAGTCCTCTCACGTACTCGTCTCATCCCGCGCAAGCGTTGCGTACTATTCCCCACTCGAAAATTTCGCAATGTCTAATATGCCCCACGCATAAAACGGATCAATAATATTTAGATATTACGTGATTAGTCCGTTTTATGCGCGGGGCATATTTAGACACTGCGGGTCCAATCATATACGGTCATATAATCAATTTCATCTCTACCAAGACAATGCTCTCCGCCACCTCACGGCGGCCATGGATTTCTACGTGATCAAGCTCATCAATGTCCCTGCTAGGGTGTTCGTTTTTTACATCTGATCTAATTAAACGGCATCGCTGATATCTCATCTATCGGAAACACTGTCATTATCCCCGACATTGATACTCCGTGTTATCAGGCGATCAACCATGATGTTAACCGAATACTCCCAAGGCATCGAGAGCTCAGTGAGAAGTATTTCCTGGTTTATAACAATGCATGGTGTTCTGCCAACAGTGCTATCAAGACTTTTCATCTATCAGATCCCAAGGCTTCGACCTCGAGTTTGCTCTTCTATCAGCATGACTACTGGGAGCCCGACAAGATCAAATTACTACTTAAACAGTCGGTGCTCAGAAGCTCGGCAGGCTTTCTCTTCATTGGTGCTCCGCACGCTTTCAACCTGCTTAAGACTCATCATCGCACTATGGCGCATCCCAAGAATACCAGATCCAAGCTGATTATGGACCAGGCTGCCGCTGATGGTGGTGTCATTCCACACGTTGTCCCGCTGGTCAAGCCTGTTGCTGTTGATCCGCCAGTTGATCCGCTGGTCAAGCCTGCGGGAGACAAAGCAATGGGAGCGTCAGACAGTATCTCGTCAACGGTTAACAACCTTGCAGCGGGTAGCTCTGGCCTGTCGGTGGAAGAGAAGGCAGTGGATGATGACGGTTTCATTGACGACGATTCGGATGTGGAAATGGAGATCGACCTGGAAAAGGAGTCGGCTCTCAAGCTGCGCTCTGCACTTATCTTGCTGTTTCCTGTTAACCTGGTTGCTGCAAAGGAAGTTGCTTCCATTATTGATGTCGTGTCAATGCTGATCAAATGCGGGTGGAATGCAGAGTTGTCCGCGGAAGCTCAAACCACGACCAAGTTCCAGGAACTGCTGCCGGCTTATGTCGTCAAGGTTCGCTTCGGTCGGTTGCTTGTCTCCTTCACCCTGCATGAGGATGCGGAAACGGTTAAGCGCAAGGAAGTGCTCTACCAGAGGATTAACGTTGGACAGTTGGTGAAACTTCACTGGCAGCATACTGAGAACCCGGCTTACCTGAGGGAGAAGGCGCTTAACCCTCACGCGCTCGAGATCATCTTCCGTGGTGTCTCCGCTCTGGTGGAGCTTGATCGGCTTGCTGACAGGCTCGTCGTCTACAAGTTGTCCAACCGCAAGCGGCCGGCTTTCCAGAGCTGCTCCAATCTTCACCGCGTTCTTCACCCTGTGACTGGGGCTGACACGGAGACAGTTAAGGGACTTGTCTACCTTTTCCCGGGAGATCTGCACCACTGGCTGCACGTTGTGTCAGATCCTGCAGATCGGTCGAAGACCCTCCTGATCCACTACCCGGCCTTATCTTGCACGCTCTGTGGTGGGCAACACTATGATAAGTATCATAGTGTTTTCGCCGTGGAACGTCAGGGTAATGTGGGGAAGTGGAATTTGACGGTTGGGAAAGCGCATCGGCTGAACGATAAAAGTCTTAAGCGCATGCATCAGGGTATCCGCCTCACCTTACTTTTTTCAGTTGCTAACTCTCCGCTTGGCTCTCGCAGCATCGTCGCTGAAAGCCACCCCGCTAGTCCTCCTCCTCTTGAAGGATCCGGCTCTGGCACTCATCTCGACCGGGAGCAGCAGGGAAGAGTGGTTATGCACGCAGGCCGGCTGCGACAAAGCTCACGGGAAGTGTTTCATGTCGGAGAAGGATCATGTCAACTCAGCGGCTCACCTTATCAACATGGAGAAGATGGGAACTGCTACCAAGGCATCCCTCGAAAACATCGGGCTTTCTGCCATCAAGAAGCAGTACGGAATATGAGCAGGAGGATACTCACAGCGGCAGGAGTTTGTGTGGTAGTCAGTATAGCCAGTTGTCAGAACATATATATAGCTTATGCTGTTGTGTAGGCTATAGTGGGGTATCCCATAGGGGGTACAACCCAATTAGGGTTTCCCATATGTACTCACTTCATTCATAGTTCATTCATTCTCCTTCTACTTTTCTCATGGTATCGAGCAGGTTCCCTCGTGGGAACTGTTCCTAGGGCCCACCGTTTTTTTTTTCCTGCCCGGAGCGCACTCTGCCCCTACCCGAGTCGCGCTCCCCTCTCTCTTGGCCCCTAGTGGCCCCTTTAGCCGCCCGTCACGGCCCTTAGACGCCCGCGCGCCGCCCGTCCCGGCCCCTTAGACGCCCGCGCGCCGCCCGTCCCGGCCCCTAGACGCCAGTGCGCCACCCGGCCCGGCCCCTAGACGCCCGCGCGCCGCCCGTCCCGGCCCCTAGACGCCCGCGCGCCGCCCGTCCCGGCCCCTAGACGCCCGCGCGCCGCCCGTCCCGGCCCCTCGACGCCCGCGCGCCGCCCGTCCCGGCCCCTCGACGCCCGCGCGCCGCCCGTCCCGGCCCCTCGCCGCCCGTGAGCCGCCCGTCCCGGCCCCTAGACGCCCGCGCGCCGCCCGTCCCGGCCCCTAGACGCCCGCGCGCCGCCCGTCCCGGCCCCTCGACGCCCACGCGCCGCCCGTCCCGGCCCCTAGACGCCCGCGCGCCACCCGGCCCGACCCCTAGACGCCCGCGCGCCGCCCGTCCCGGCCCCTCGACGCCCGCGCGCCGCCCGTCCCGGCCCCTCGACGCCCGCGCGCCGCCCGTCCCGGCCCCACGCCGCCCTACCTGCGGCCTACTCGCCGCCCTACCTGCGGCTCGCCCGCCGCCCTAACTGCGGCCCGCCCGCCGCCCTACTTGCGGCCCTACCGCCGCCCTGCCTGCGGCCCGCCCGCCACCCTACCTGCGGCCAGCCCGCTGCCCTACCTACGGCCCGACCGCCGCCCTACCTGCGGCCCAACCGCCGCCCTACCTGCGGGAGCCGCCTAGCAGCAGAACCGCCGGGAGCCGAGCCGCCCTGCCGCCGAGCCGCCCGGGAGCCGAGCCGCCCTGCCGCCGAGCCGCCCGGGAGCCGAGCCGCCCTGCCGCCGAGCCGCCCGGGAGCCGAGCCGCCCTGCCGCCGAGCCGCCCGGGCGCCGAGCCGCACTGCCGCCGAGCCGCTGAGCAGCCGAGCCGCCCTACTGCCGGGCCGCCCGACCTGCCCTGTCCGGTGAGCACAGCCCCACTGTCACTGCGTGCCCTTCCCCTACTGCTTGCACTGCTCGTCTGTCGTCGTCATGGCTACCCCTAGTGTCCTCGCTTTTGACGCTGAGGGTCGAGCCATTGACTTTGAGGTCTGGGTCGACGACCTGCAGCTGTTCTTACAGTGCGATAGGGCGGACGGTCTTTCCCTCTTTGACCTCACCTCTGGCGCCTCTCCTGCCCCTGCTACTGATGCTGACCCCACTGTTCGCTCTCAGTGGGCCACCCGCGATGCTGCTGCACGTCTTGCTGTACGTCGCCACCTGCCTACCACTGAGCGCGCGCACTTTAGTCAGTACAAGAGTGCTCAGACCTTGTACGACGCTGTAGTTGCGCGCTACTCTTCCCCTGCCACTGCTGCCCTGAGCCGCCTCATGCTACCGTACCTCTTTCCTGACCTTGCTGCCTTTCCCACTGTCGCTGACCTCATTACGCACCTCCGCACTAGTGACACTCGCTACCGCGCCGCCCTTCCTGCTGAGTTCTGCGCCAAGAACCCCCCCCCCATGTACATCACTCTCTATT